AAAAAAGAAAAAAGGAAAAAAAACTGAACTGAGATGGACTGCTGTCCCAGACAGAGTTTGCAGCTTGAGGCCAAGTTAACTGCCCACTTACAGCAATTCTCTATCACCACCAACAACAATAAAAACAACATTTTTCGGAAGACTAATAGAATCCAGATTCTCCATAACTTATCATTCATAATTGTCCAGAATACAGGAAAACATTATTCAACATATAAAGAAACAAAAGGTGTGACTCATTTTTCAAGAGAGAGTTAATAGGGACTGACTTAAATGACCCCAGTATTAAAATTAGCAGATGAAGGTTTTTGAAGGAACAATTATAACTCTGCTTGAAGAGACAAAAGAAAGTCTATTCTAATTCATGAAAAGATGAGAAATATCAGCAGAGAAATAAAAACCATTAATAAGAACCAAATGGAAATTCTAGAAGTGAAATAAACATTTGCCCTGATCTTATAAGATTATAACAATACCCAAAAGGTTAATATACATATTAAGAAAGATTAATGTTCCAATTTAAATTATTTACACTACTCATTAACAAGCTGTCATTATCTGGACGCACTTAAAATGTCTTCTAAGTTATTTACTCCTGAACACTACATCTTCATTTTGCACAATGAAATGTGTTAATTATGGGTCTGCCCTCCTTGCAGAATAACTTTAATTTCTAATAAATGACAATGTAAAAATCATCATGAACATCCATAATATTCATTTATTTTTAAATCTTTTATATATAAAATATAAAAAAATTACAAGATACAGAAAACTGCATAAAACAAATGTACAATATGATGAATTATTATAAAGAAAACACTCCAGCTCGGCACCTGTGGCTCAAGTGGCTAAGGTGCCAGCTACATACATCTAATGTGGCGGGTTCAAATCCAGCCCAGGCCCACCAAACAACAATGATGGCTGCAACCCAAAAATAATAATAATAAATAGATGGGCATTGTAGCAGGCGCCTGTGGTCCCAGCTACTTGGGAGGCTAAGGCAGGAGACTTGCTTGAGCTCAGGAGTTGGAGGTTGCTGTGAGCTGTGATGCCACGGCACTCTACCCAGGGCAACAGCTTGAGGCTCTGTCTCAAAAAAAAAAAAAAAGAGAAAACACTCCATCCAGGTCCAAAAATAAAACCTTACCAGCCACTCTAGAAGCCCTTCACGTCCCTGGTCTCAATCATAGCCAACTCCCTCCTCCCAAAAAGTAACCATTCTCATGAATTTTATTTCAATCACTGGTTTTCTTTGGAGCTTTATTGTCTATTATTATCTTTAGTATCCCTGAACACTGTATTTTAGTTTTGCTTTTATTTTAATGCCTTCTAAAAATATGTTATTTCTACCATTATCCTCTTTTGGGGAAACGGCTCTACTAAGGTATTATATTGGCACATAATAAACTGCACATCTTTAAAATGTACCATTTGATGAAGTTTGACATATATATGGATATGCCCAGGAAATCATCACCACAATCAAGTCGCTCCTGAGCGCACTCAGAGCCCAGGCCTTGGTTTCTAACACTATTCTCCGTTCAAAGGAACCAGGACTATGCAGGCAAACGGCTGATTCCAAGGCAGGGAGAGTCAGTATCTGAAGCGGCTTGTTATGCCCCTAAGTAAGGCAGTACCTATGAAAGACGATGGGATCATGTTCTAATGTCAGACGAGCCAGTTTGAAGGGGCTCCCACTTGCTAAGTCTAGGACAATCTGAGTACCAAAATAATTCAGTGCAGTAAAAAATTACAAAGCATTGAAAAACAGCCATTCTTAAGTCTGTACCATAAATGAATAAGCGGAAGAAGTAAAGGTTTTACTTATAGTAGAATGCTGAGGGCTAATAAATAGGAAAGATGGTCTGGAGTTGGAAAATCATTATTTAGTTACCACTAAAGATTAGATTAGGCAAAAATCATTGATGGATGCTGTATCTCGGGATAAATTTTGGTGAGGAGCAGGATATTTGCATGCATTTAAAGTGTCTCTTATGCACTTCTGACTAATTCACAGAGAACAAAACCCCTCAGTAATTATATAGTAGAAAAAGTGAACAACACCTTGACCAGGTGACCGAAACTAACTAACTAACTAACTAACTTACTATTGAGGGGCAGGTGGTTATCCTGCGCCTCCAGATGTGATGCACTCCAGGGGTACACCACCACCTATGTGGTTTTCTGGCTGAGAATATACATCCTTAATCCAATAAAAAGGAAACATCAGACCTGTACAAAATGGGAAACATTTTATTTTTAAAAAGCGTGAGGGCTTCTGTATTCATTAAAAATGTTGACATCACTAAAAGACAAGGGCACACTGTGGAAATATCCCAGGTTGAAGGAAGCTAAAGAGATATCCAAAGAGGCTGACTCCAGACTGGATCCTGTACTAGAGGAAAAAGTTCCCCATTAGTCAGGGAGAGGGATTTGAACAGCTTCTCCTGTTCTCCCAGCAAGATGCCTGCCATATTTTGTCTTGGGCAATCCTGGTTGTCTCAAATATTGGGTCTTTGTGTGATGAGCAACAAAACACACCTGTGGTTTTGATAACAGAAATAGATGTCTAAATGTGTGTGTGTGTGTGTGTGTGCGCGCGTGTGTAAGAGAGAGAAGGAGAGGGGGACGGGGGGAGAGAGAGAGGGAGAGAGGAAGAGAGGCCTAGAGAGAGAAAAAGAGGGAGGGCGGGGCAGGAAATAAACGGGTTAGAAAGTCAACAAAAGGTAAATCTGGGTGCTCTTTGAACTATGTGGTATGCTCTTTGAACTATTATTTGTATAATTTTTTTGTAATTTTAAAGTTATTTCCAAATAAAACATTAGAAAAGAAGAAATAAGAAAAGACTGATGGAGGACAGTGCCTGTGGCTCAAGGAGTAGGGCGCCAGCCCCATATGCCAGAGGTGGTGGGTTCAAACCCAGCTCCTGCCAAAAACTGCAAAAAAAAAAAAAAAGACCGATGGACCATTAGACAAGTGGGCAAAAGCTACGCTCAGGTGAGTCACACAAGAAAAAATACAAGGAGTCAGAAATGCAGGGGTACACTTTTTTAGAGTTATAATGCCCAGTTTTGATTAGGAAGTAGAGAAATGGGTATTTCTAAACACTGCTGAGATTATGAATCAATATAATCTTACTGGAGGGCAATGAGTCATTTTGCACAGAAAGCCTTAAAAATACTCAAGTTTCATTCTAGCAAAAATTATCCTAAAAAATAATTTGTATGTAAGTAGAAAGATTTATCTACATGAACTTTTAAAGCACCTTACTTATAGAAGTGAAAAATTTGGACATTCTAAAAATAAGAAATTAGTAAATAAACTGAGAGAACCAGACAAACGCCATTTTAGGCAATTCCCACCATCTTGAGAAATAAGTTTCAGTTTCCCCACCAGGTATTTCCCCATAATCACATGATTCCTACCACCCAATCAAAGCACACCTTGTGATCAGACCACTAGGCCACTAGTACCCAATCCTGTGTGTCCCCATACTCAGATCTTCCTCAAACCCCACCTACAATCCCAACCCCATAAAAACCCCCGCCCCAGAGCTCCCAGAGCTCGTGGCTCTCGGCCAGGATCCGTTGCACGGATCCCCCAGAGTCCAAGCTCCAGCTTGCTGCAATAAAGGCCCTTTTGCTTTTGCATCAGACTTGGCTCCTGGTGGTCTTTGGGAACTATGCAATCTGGGCACGACAAAACTATATTTCATCCATAGGTTGGAATACTATGTAACCATTAATAACGGTCTATAAATATACCGAATAATGATGTGTAAAAATGTCTAGGATATATCACTAAGCAGAAAAAAGTTTGCAAAACAGTGCATAAAGTATATTCCCAAATGTGTCAAAATATATAATCATGCAGAAAAATAAACTAGAAAGAGTTATCAAAATATAACTATGACTTTTTTTTGTATATCACTGTATTTTCCAAGTTTTACACATTTGCTTTAGAATCAA